ATTGAAGGCATCTGTACTCTTCATATCCAGCACTGAGCTGAGCCTTGCTCCAGTTCTCTCCTCGGTGACACTGGAAAAATCTTCCTGCTTTAGTCCAGGGAACCTCAAGCAAACCCTGCCCTCTCTCAGCCACTAAATAATCTCAGTGGTCTGCACAGAGGCAGTTGCAGGAAGAAATGAATGGTACTGTAACATTATTGAGCTGCTTCTCACTTTCATTTCTGTGGGAAAAAGAAATAAGCAAGAGCCAGCAAAGACCCTGCTAAATCCACCCTCAAAGAGAGATGTGAAACCAATTAGCAGGCTGGCCCAGCACCCATAAAGTCGCTGTCTACACCATGAAATGTTATAAAACAAAACAGAACACACAAGAAAAAGGAAAAAAAAAATCAAATCAATAAAGAACAGGCCATGCCAAACAATAAGCCTGCAGGTGCTTGCAAGGTGCAAATCCAATATGAATAGTGGCACTTTTAGAAAAGCAGCTACGACCGAGATGAAACCGAGCGGAACAGAAATGCAGAAGCAAGTGAGGATACATTTTCAAAATATGTCAGGATTTATTCTGTTCCTAAAAGAGCCAGACAGTTAATCCACCCCGTTGGCAGGTGCATGATAGTAGGTGATTCCTTGCAACAACCTCTATAACTATTCTCATTATATTATTCTCCAGATGGGGATAGCAGTAAAGGGAGCAGAGGCACAGGATGGAGCTGGAGGCACCATTTGTTTTGCTTGCAATGTAACCCATCCTGCAAAAACAACGGGCCACTCAAACAGGATTTCTTGAGTGGGGATGACACAAAGCATCAGCTCCAGTGTCTCCATAGACACCAACACCTGCAGTGCATCTTTGGGAATTACAGGTACCCCATTTTGGGGAGGGCAGAGGTGATGGCAGGCTTTGCTGCATTTGAGAAATGACTGACTCAATTCGAAAATGAAGTGGCCTGGCATAAGGATGGAGGGTGCATTTCTCAAAGAATTTATAATTAGGAGCTCAAAGTGTTGTTGTCTTCTAAAGACTAAACCCTTCTCTTCCCCAACCCCCCCCCCAAAATTTATTTTTACTCCAGAAGTTTCTAAGGAAAAAATGAAAGCAGGTTTTATGGATTAAAATATTTCATTCCTGTTTCAATCAGTCCCCAGTTAAGTCCCATAGAATGCCAAGAAATTTCGGAGAGAAATTTGAAAGAAATTTTGTTTCAAATTAAGAAAATGTTTTATGTGTGTCAATAAGTCAATTTTAACATTGCTGAAATTCCTCCATCCTCTTTTACCCTGAAAACAAAGTTGACTCATTTCCAGAGGACTCAGCAGCACTGAGAGACACATCAACAGCTGGTGGAATATGGTTTCTTCAACATTTCTCTGGCCAGCTCTCATCACCCATGGCAGGATGAGCTGGTCACATCTGCTGACCTCCTAAAACAGCGTGGCTGCTGTAATTCTGCGTTTTCCCACATTGTCAATAATTCCTACAAAGCATCACCATCCCAAAGCCTATCCTTACCACCTACCAACCTGGGAGGGAGAAGTACAGAATAAATCTGTTTTGTGTTCTCAGATAATGGAAAAAAATATTGCTTTGATAAACAGAAAAAGAAAAAAATATTTTAAAAGCCATCTTCCACACTGACCCTGCACAACTTTGTGCTGCTTGTTCCCTAGTGCTAGATCCCTGGAGACTGGAAAATTCATCCTTATTTATTTATTTAAATTAAAAATCCTAGCTGTGACCTTAGAGGTGTGTGTTTATTATCAGCTCCAATGCACTTGTCACAGCCTTGGCTGGAAGGAAAGCCAGGGGAGGATTTAAAAATAATAATCCAGAAATTCCTCCATTTCAAATGTCATTGGGGTTTTTTTTTTTTTTGTTTCTAATTAGAATACAGTTTGCCTTTCAGATTCCAAAGCTTTTGGATTAGTGGTTTTTAGCATGATGTCATTTTCCTGCCTATATGACCACAGCACAGCCTTACTTCAAGTGTTTGGTAACAACAGAAAAAATAACCGTGGAAACCTATATGTAATTCTGGATCTGAATTAGTGCCACACCATTACCAGGCAGTTCAGGAGGACGAGGGCAGGACCTCTACAAGGAGTGTGCCTATTCCCTCTTATCCTTTCCAGAAAGTGACTCTTGGCCCTAAAAGAAAACCCACAAGGCCCTACTCAGCAGTTACCTGCCTCAATACCCATTATGCACACGTGTACAGTGAAGCGAGTTTGTCTTTAAAACAAAACAGACAGAAACAGAATTAGTGGACCAGATTGATTCCACTTATAGCTACATTATATTATTCTAGAGCTAAATTCCATCCATATGTGAATTGTAACCCTTCAGAGACTTAAAGTATGGGCAGTTTCTGGTTTGCCAGCTCTCTTTCCTCCCAAATGCACTCCTGCTCCTCTTGCAGAGCAAACAACACCATTGGTATGTGCTATCCATGTCAGAATTAGCATGGCTAATGCTTCTGGCAACCTTAACAATATAGTTAAAATTATTCAAGACAGTTATTATTCATTTTATTTAAGGAGAGTTCTCAGGTCTCAGAATCTCGCCTAAGAAGGTGAACACCAAACTGGGAGGAGAAAATGTGGTAGTGAAAAGATAACTTGGCTCAACAGCCAGATAAGCAGCTGGTCAACCCTTTTGTAAACTTCATTTAGACAACATGAATTTGGTTTTTCCAAGGGTTTGAGTGTTTTTGTACATCTCACTATTGATGGATTTTCTGTTTGTGTCAGCAATTGGCTTAACAGCAGTGGAGATGTTTGGGTTTTCCATGGATCTATTTCACATGAGCCTGTCAGGTAGCCTTGTGCCTTTGAATCTTCCACTGCCATATGTGCTCAATAAAAATCCAGCCTTGGTTATCTCTGCTTGTCCTGAGCAGGTGACTTTGGAGCATCGAGGTCTTCTCTGGCACCTTCAGAGCTGCACTTGCAGAGACACCTGGGGAGGGGCCCAGGTGCTTGGGGAGTGACAGCTTATCTCCCCCAGCTCCACTGAGCAGCACTCTGGACGCCAGGTGAGAAAACTGGCCCACTGGGCCACCAGAAACACGAGACCACCCTGCCCCTGTCCCCCTTCCCAGAAGCCAAGGCACACACACCCTGCATGTGGGATAGTCCAGCTGCCCTTCAAAGAGCTCCCCAAAAACCCATCTTGCTGACCCTCCCCCAAGTCTCCATGCCAAACCCATTTACTGAAATGATAATAGCCTGACAGGAATCGGTTTAGTTTGGCTAAAGAGACGGCATCATCCTAAGGAAAAAATATGGTTTTGGAGGCCCACCCAAAAATGCAAAGGCTGGACTCTGTCTGAGAGCAGAACTTGGCCTCCTGTCTCTATTCCCACAAAAAATGCTTGTAAACGTTATGTTCTTTGGGCTGTATTTTTTTTTCCTCCCTGCATTAAAAACTGAGTGAATTTAGTGCTTATAAAACCAAGAGGCTGATAGCAACTGGCTAGAACCAGATGTTAGGGAGACTGGAGCATATCAAGCAAACAGATCGTGCACATATAAGTATTCAGAAGTATGTAGCTGCATCACTTACTCCCAGTCAGATTATCAAATAGATTGATTTCTAAATATAAAAACATGATGCCTAATCCCCAAGGCTTGGGAAGAAAGGGAAGAGGGAAAATGCAAAGATGTTTATAGGTATCCACATCTATAGATTCAGAAAGAGAATATATTTTCCCTCTCCTCCATCATTTGCAGCTCTGTCCTTCCCTGCTGCCCCAACCAGCAAGCCCAGCAGGGACAGATGTAATGCTCAAATCACATCTCCAACCCAGCAAGGTGCTCAGCCTTTGGAGAAGGAGTGTCCCAGTGTGGGGGTGAGATGATTTCCCAGGATATCCAGCCCCACATTCTCCTGAAGTGGAGGCATATGGGCTCCTTTAGCCACCAGCACTCAGGTTGCACACAAATCCAAACACTTTTAGAAGGACTTGTAACAAAAACACGTGCCTGAAGTGCCAGCATTCCTTTCAACAAGGCATGGCAGGTAACTGGTGCAATCTGCCAGTAAACCCTATGGAAACATAAGCCCCTGGAGCTGGCTCCCTTAAGGGGTTTGAGCTGTTAGTTTTAATGGCTTGAACGGGAGGGGTTTTTCTGAACAAAAACTGGATCAGTTTTATTGACTTAGAGTGAAACGTTTCCGTTTATAGCTTGAGATTTCTGCTAAAGGATTTAAACAACCTTAAAGGCTCCTCCTCTGCTCCCACATCCCCAGGTGACTTTATTCAGACATCAAGGCCTCCAAAAGCCCAGTTTTGGCCTTTCAGGCTCCCCCTGGTACCATCTCCTTCCTTGCTGCACAAGTTTCCAGAGCATTTAGCAGGCACTTGTGCTGTGCTGGTGCTCATGAAGCTCTTCCTGAGCCTTTTTCCACCACGGCCTCCCTGCCAGGCAGTCTCTGCTGACCATCAACCAACAGCATAAGAGCCAGGACAGCCTCAACTCAGCTTCTGCTTTAGGCTGAGTTTTCTTTGCATTTCCACTTCACAGGCTTTGAGGCCAGAAGGAGCCATCGCATCCCTCACTCAAGATTTTGCACTCCACAGAGCCTTTACCACCCCATGGTTTGTCACCAGCAGTGCCACATCCACCACCCATGGGTCAGGCGGCAGCACCTTAAGCCCAGCCAAGGCAGAGATCCAGTGGGTGAGATCTCCCTCCTTAGGGGATCCTACCCTGTAAACCATACTGCATCCCTAAGGACATCAACCCACTTCCTCCAGGAGACAATTCCTTCCCAGCTGATCCAGCAACCACTGCAGTGCATGTGGGATCTGAGTTTCTGCTCTGTAGCAGCAGTAACAGACCAGCACACCCCCTCCCTGAGGGCCATCCCTGCCTCAGGTGCACACTTAGCACCATCAGTATTCATCATTCTTTTCAGCCCACGACCATACACCACGAGGACTTCTGCTGCTGGATTCGACTTCACCCAAGTTCAGTTGGACACACATAGCTCTCACCTTATTTATCTGCTTCCAAATTGTGGAAAGACTGAGATCTTTATGTTCTTTAGTCATCTGTGCAGCACAAACTGGGCTCACAGGTTGCCATTATTAGGTAGAGCCTGGGAAGAGAGGAGACGGGAAGTTAACAGAAACATTGAGGGCTGTGGTGGCGGCTGCAATTTTAATCCAGTGACTCAAGCTTGGCAAACAGAGAAGCTGCAATGTATTAAACTGTGAAGAGTTTACAAGAGCTGAACATCTAAAATATAGCTGTGAGAAATTACTCCTTAAAGCAGGCAAGCAAGAGCATCATGAACAGAACCAGGAGAATATTGTTTTCACAGGAAACACTCCGTGGGTGTGTTATAAGCTCTGTTCTTTGGCCTGTCACCACATAATTTCTGCACTTCTTGTATTTCTCTCTTTTCTCATACTCAAGCACTGTCCTGTGATACAGCAGAAGTGCATTTACAGCTAAAATTACAAAAGTGGTGCATTATGTTTTCTAAGGTAATAAAAAGGCTGCAGTTTGTCACAGCTGTCTGGAGCCCCAAACACCTACAAGTGGCAGAGCTGTGATCCCCTTTCTTCTCCCCTGGCCCAGGCTGAATCTGGGTATGTGTGCATGCAGATTAAAGTTATGTACAAACAGATCTTTTAGTGTTCTCTCTGGAAAAAAACAAACAGAAAAAAAAAAAAAAAAAGGAAACAACTCCACAAACAAAATGAAAATAAAAAAATGGTGCATCAGTGAAGCAAGAGGTCAGAGCATTCCTGAGCACTTATTTCAGAACAGCTCCATTTCGGCTGCTGCTTCTTGGCTTCCCACAGTGGCCACACCAGCTTTCCTATCTCACAGGGCAGGGGGAGTGTGGTGAGTCATCTCCAGGGGGCTCTTTCCAGAGGTGAAAAGTCTCAGCATGTCCAGCAGGAAAGTTGCAAAAGGATGGGAGAGGAGCAGCAGATCTCAGGGTAGAGCCAAGAGGAGAAGCCAGGAAGACCCAGCCCTGTGTTGCTCCAAATCAACTTTTTCTATTGGAGGCTTCCCAAATTCAGCATGTGGACACACCATCCCCTTACCTCTTCTTCAGCTTCCCCAGGGAAGGAGGAATTTAGGGACAACAGGTAGGAATCTTCAGGCAACACTCATACTACTCCTAAACAGAAACAAAGCTCCACCACCAAGGACACCACAGCCCTTCTGCTCTTCCCAAAACTTTTATAAGCTCAGGGATCCCAGTGAGAAAGCCTAGGTCCTACTTCAGTTAATTATGCTAATTGTGTTTTCCCCGTGTCAGATGTGGTGAGGAGTGCACAGCTGTGGAACATCTCCAGCAATGAGGAGGTTCACTCAGGTTGTTTCCATCTTACCAGAAACCACCAAGCAAAAGAGCCTGGAGGGAAGTTTGTATGGAGCAAAGGCCCTATGGATTTTTGGAAGCTCTATCTAGTTTACACTGGGGTCATAACCACCCCCCCTTCAGAAATGGTTGCAGAAGACTCAGGTTGTGGCTGAATGAGGCTCCCACAACTCAAATGCCAGGATCCCTCTTTCAAAACTAGATGGAAAAAGGCAGAACTCAGGTCACCCACTCGGTGGGGTTGGGTTCACATGCAAGACACATGAGAGAGCAAATGATTTCTGTAAGGTCCTTCCAACCCCAGGTGCAGCCCCAGTTCTGCAGGTGAGGACCTGTGTCAGCCTTAAAAGACAGGCAGGGACTTAGAGGGGAGGAGGGAATTTCAATTTACTCACTCCAAATGTTGGACCCTGAGAAGGCCTGGTTTTAGGCTTGAGTATCAGAGTGAGTGGTATTAAATCATGCACATCAGTCTAATTAACACCTACACTACAAGGAACGACAGAGCAGTTTTATGTTATTAACTCAGGGTGAAGAGGCTGTATCAGAGCCTGGCTAGGCAAAGCTAAAGGTGGCACTGCTGCTGTGGGCACAAAAGAGTTTTCCCTGATTCCAAGCTGCCCCAGATGAACAAACCCCACTTAACAAAACACTTTTTTTTTCCCCCCCTGTGCAAAAAATAAGGGTCTCACCTAATTCCAATAATTCGGTTGCTGGGCATGGTGCAGCTCATCTCACCATAGCTGAGAGGAAAAATAAACAAGGAGCAAGCCCTGCAGAGCAGAGGGGCTCCTCTCTCTGTTAGGCCTGCACGAGCCTCAAGATGGAAATCTACTCTCATTTGAGGCCTTTGGGTGCTTGCATAGTATAAATATTTACTAATAACACAGAGAGAGTGAGAGAGGGAGAATAGTCATTTTTCTCAGTGGCTTAGGGTTAAGTACAGGGCAATGGCATCTTAAATCCAGATGTTCTCCTTTTGGGATTTGCCCACGAGGCATATTCTCATGAGATTTCCCTGGCGTTTTGATTTGGATAGTAGCAAGCACTTTTAGCCCAATGATATCATGAGCAGATGACTCAAAATGCTCAAGGATTTTCTTTGTAAATTCCAGCAGTTTATTTTATGACTAATGCAGGGCAGAAACTTCTGCAGATTTCATCTTCCCATCCTTCTGTGCTTCTATTTTCAGTTGGTTTTAAAGGATTCTGAACTCTGCCTGCTAGCAGAAGATTTATTTAAATGTATATATTATATATAAATACAAATACTGCATGCACATGAGGGTGTGTGGGAGCTGTTCCCAAGGTGCTGGTGAAATGACACATCCTGATGGAGGCAGAGATGTTGGGGGCTGCCCCTTTGGGACAGAGGGATAAAATAAACATGGGAATTGCCTTTCCCGTTACAATTGCAGCAGGGCACAATATTTAACACCATTTTACCACCTGTGCTTGGAAGAAATGGCTCGAAAGTGGCAATCCCTGCACCTTTGGCCAAAAGAGCAGCAGTGTCCAGACCCTGTCTGTAAAGTGCCCCGAGTGTGGCAGGGGAGGGTGGAAAAGATGCCAAAAACCTGTGAGGGCAGGAGTGGGGAGGGTGTTCAAACACCAAGCAAACACTGGACAGCAGAAGCAGAGAGAATAAATAGGGGAAATTCACTGGAGGTGAAGCTGGGCTGCCTTGGCCGAGGCAGTTGCACAACAGCATCACTGGGGCGATTTTTCTCTCCGTCCAATTCACCAAGGACTTGCACGCTACTTTGGTGGATTTTCTGCACAATTACAGATTATTGCCATGGTAACAGATGCATCACATGACAACTTTGTTACCTCAGAGACAAGAAACAGCTGCTTAAAGAAACAGGCGTCCTCCAGGAATAGAGATATTTATTTTCTTTTTCTTCTTTTTTTTTTTTCTGTTGGCTTCACAGTGTTTTAGGAGTCCTCTCTGGTTTTCTCATGGATGAAGCTTCTATCATTTGCATAGTTAAAAATGTTTCAGTGCAGCAACTGAAAGTTATTTTCTCCTACATCATATTTTTGACTCTTACTAGAAATGCAGTGTATGTCTGAAGAAAAAATAAAATAGAGTTCCTGTAATTTTGGGAGAAACAAAATGGCTTTTTTCCTCCCTCATAAGCATCTCCCTCTAATGCTGCCATTTTGTTTTTATTAAGTTAAAGACCATTGAGGCATTGCTAATAATATTATTTGAGAGAAATCCCAGATCCCTTGAAGTTAATGCTACTTTGCCTTTGGTTTGAGGGAGGCCAGAAGTTCTCTCTCAGGCCATATTCCCATATTCTGCAGAGAATCATGGCCCTTTCTGCCCCAGGTACCTCCACAGCAGCAGCCACATATTTGAGAGTTTAACTGACCAGGGAAACCCAAGAGATGATAAATTCTTGTACAGTTCAAAAATTACTCTACATTTATGAAAAAAAGAGAAAAGTTCAGAGACATCACTTATTGCTACCTCATTTTTTAGGCAACTTTAAATTAAGTGACCTATTTTAAAAAGCTTCACCAAGTAAGCCAACCAGTTTGGATTTTTAATTCCAGTTGCCAATTTATTCTCATTTTTCATGCATAAGGAATAATGAAACCCTTGAATTTTTCCTGTTCACCTTGGGCAGCTCAATGGGGCTCATTCACTGACTGCACCAGACATGGGTGGCACAAATCAGTGTCCCCAGCCCAGGGCTCAGCCCTGGCAGCATTTCCAGCCCCCATCCTGAGCATCCCAGCCCTTCACCATCCCAGCCTCCACCAGAGCCCTGCAGCTGCCTCAAAGTCACCCCATTCCCCAGCCCCCAGTGGTGTTAATTAAGGACCTGCCGGAGCTCAGACAGCCAGACCACTTCAGCCCACAGTGAATGTCTGATTAATTAAAGCCTTATAATTAACCTTCATGGCTGGAATTTCCCAAAGACCTTCATGGGCTGAGGTACACAAATCCCATCAACCTCGATGGGAGGCTGGAATCAAATAATTTTTGTCCCTTGCTGGGCATCCCCCTGCGCACCAGCAGAGCGAAACGTTTCCCTTTCCTGGGTTTGGATGTGTTTTCCCAGGTCTGGATGTGTTTTCCCAGGTCTGGATGTGATTTCCCAGGTCTGGATGTGTTCTCCCAGGTTTGGGTGTGATCTCCCAGCCTTGCAGAGCTGCTCAGAGAGAGATGGAGAATAAATCCTGTGCAGAAAACCCCTCTGTGCCCCTCTGTGCCACCAGCAGCCCTGCTCACACCGTGGGTTTGCACGATCCACTCTGCTTCCAGTGGAGCTTCTCCAGATTTATCCCAACACAAAGGAGATCAGGAATCTCCAAATAGCCCCAGAAGTAAGAACTGAGGAAGAGAGACACATCGGACATTAGAGAAATCCAGATGTTTTTTTCTTTAACCATTTTGTTTTAAATTTTCTTTCAGGAGTCAGATTTTTTCCTCAAAAAAAATTCAACTGGGAAATCACCTCTGCACGGGACATTTTTGTTAATGAAGGACACTGCCTTAATGTGGTTTTCCTTAGTTAAATATTTCTGGTAAATGAAATTCTGTTGTACAGCTTAAATTAGCACTGTAATTTTTTGCTATAGTTGTTTTTATTTGACCACATGGAGCTCACTGACTTGTAACCCAGTCCCTCAGCCTATTTTTAAATTTCATGTGGACCTTTTTCTGTCATTTGGTAGCTTTTTATAGAAGCATGAGAATGGAAAGACCAAGCAACATTGCTTTATCATTGAGAGCTTTTGTTTCACAGGATCACAACTGAAATGAGTTTGTCCAGCTCTCAGCCCAGGCTCTAAGAAAGAAGAAATCACAATTTTTTAATAAAAAAGCTCCCAGTCTTGTAATTTCTGGTTCATGCTAGCCCTCTATGGAAGATGTTACACACTTATTCTATGATCCAAATCTTGGTCCAAATGATCGAGGACAGCAATCAAAACTGGACAGCCCTGTTGGTGCAGGCTGTTCACATCCTGGGGGACACAGGACTTCAGAGTTCTGCCCTGGCCTCCCTCTTTCCCTCATTTCCGTTCTCCTCTGCCTCAGCTGTGGCAGTGCTACTGATAAACCAAGGATGAGAAACCCTCAGGTGAGGCAGAAGTGATAAAAATCTTAAGAACAGCACACCTGCACACCTCTGACACCTGCACTCCTGGTCCTAGAGGTCAAGCTGTGTAAGCCTGGCTTTGGAAATTCCATGAGCTCTCACCCAGGTGCCACTTTGGGTATTTTCTTCATCATCCCAGCCCCCACTTACTTGTTAAACCCAACAAACATTTTTGTTTCCACTCGGAGACAAAGGAATAGGGGTGTAATGAAGGGAGAGAGGGATGCTCTCAGTCTTTCAGTGAAGTAAAAGCAGAAAATCATCTGATAGAAACGCCCCAAACTTAAACAGGCATTAGGCAGAATTAACAGACCAGACCTCCAAGCCATCAGAAATTCCCGGCTGAATAAAAGATTGATTTCAAAGACTCAAAGATACCTCAAGGCCAGCATTTCCAAAGAAGATGGGAGCTGATTGGAGCTGAAGCATTCCTCTTGTTCAGTGCATTTGAGTGAGCACTTTAAGTCTCCAAAGATTGAACTATAAAGAGAAATTAGTTTATTAATAATTCACAGGCTCCAAGAAGAAAAAAAGTCAAAAGCATATGCTCACGAACAAAGCTGATTTTATTTTCCCTGTTTAGAATTGAGCAACATGTAGAAAAATGGAGGGTGTTGAGCTCAAAAATTTAATTCAGGGCTTTTTCTCTTCCTTCCCTTTAACCCAAGCAAGGATATATTCCAACTTCATCACGAGCACTGAAAGTTCTTCAAATCCCAAATGGTTTATGTGAAACATTAAAAGCACACTATCATCTTCAGCTTTTTAATAGTTTAGGACATTTCCATGGCATAGTTATTATCCAATAGCTCTTAATTGCAGCTTGTACATTTCAAGACACCACATTCACGGACTGGAATAACAGAGATTTTAGACTCCCCATCCAGCATCATGGCAAAGCACGTCCTTGTTGGAAGTATCTCACTGAGTCTGGCACTCCTCTGTCCCACTTTGCCAGGTTATGAAATCTGTAACATTCATTTGTTTAAAATCAATCATGTTATTCCTCCTGATTCTGTGCTTCTTTCTTACAATATTGGTAATTGCTTGATTGTAGGACACTAGGTAAACACAGGAATTGAAGAATTCAATTATTAAAATTCATTAAAAGACAGACAATAAGGGAGTTGTGAATTTAAGATAAAATGCTTTCCACTGCCCAGTGGAGAAATTACAATGAGAGCAGGGTGAACATCATAATTTTTGCCACACTTATTCAAATACTGTTTCTTCTAAAAGTGAATATTGGATTTTCCTGTAAAAGTCCTTGTTTATAGGAGAGCTGAATATTGACTCTTTTATCCCAAAGAGGGCTACACAATTAGATATTACAGGGGCTATTTTTCCCTAATCTCAGAAAAAAGTCTCATACCATGACCAAACCTCAGCAAGGAAAATACAGATTATGAGGTAGAGTTACATTACTAATGTAATGTGTCAGTCCCATTTGTTTCTTGGTTTCCATTCTATTGAATCACAGTATTACTGCTTTTGGAAGGAATCTGATGATAAAGAAAGCCACCTCCCAGCAACGGAGGGGAATGATAAAAGAAGAGGCCAGCCATCATCATCCTGAAGGAAATAACCAACACTGGAGCCCTGGAGCAGCTGTGATTCCCACGGGACTCTGCTCTGACTCAGAACCCAGGCTGCAGCTGATGCTCATCCCCCCGGATCCCACTCACAGCCAACAAACTGTTGCTCTCAGAATATAATGCTTTTAACCATGTGAATTTTTTCCCCCAAAGATAATTATTTATTTCACCTCTGGGTGAACCAGAGCAGAGTTCGTTCCAGAGCAGCACTAGAAGAATGTGAAAAGCTCAGATAAATTCTCTGTGAGGTGATTTGCCTTTTTCCCCCTCTCTCTTTGTGAGAAATGCGTGGCTGGGAGACAGAGATCGCTGTCCTGACAGCAGGTTCCTCACAAGACACAGAGTCCAGGGTGCACAAAGAGCAGAGAAAAGCAGGTTTAGCTGCTCTTGGCTGCTCAGAGTTGTTTCCTAATACTCTGCATGCCCAAGCAAAGGATTAGGCTCGTTGTTGCTGGGATAGGTGAACTGCAAGAGATGGAGGTCCAAATTCTAGAGTTACTATTTCATCCTCTCCCAGGCCAATTTCCTCTTGGCTCCAGCTGGAGTCCTTGAAATCCAGGGAAGTTTTGCCTGACTACGGAGTGAGTAATGATTCCAGGAATCAACATTTGGAGATAACACCAAATTGAGTATCTTTGCAAAATTAACTTTCCTCCTAAGGTCATCTGTGTAACACTCGAGCGCACAATGCATTATTTTCAAAACGAGCCAGTCTCTATCTGTTTATCATCAGGCCAATACATGAATTCCTGATCATTTTTCCACCAGGCACACATAATTTGAGGCCATTAGGCAGTGCTTATCCATACCTCCACCGGGCAGATGTGTTCCCTGGGAGCGGTTGTCTGGGGTCTGGCAATAATAACCCAGCACGGGCAGGAAAATCAATCCCAACAAGTTTCAGAGGGACCCTTCCAAAGCTCCCCAGCATGTGACAGAGGGCTGCTAATGAGAGGGAGAGATCACATTCATTGCATGAGTGACAGGTGAAAGGGAAGATTAACGTTAGCATACACCTGCTCTTTGGTGCCCCAATTAAGACCTCCTACTGCCAGCAGGAACATAAGATGCAAATCAGCCCATGCCCTTCCCCCTCTTCCAGAAAGGCAGGATTTGGAATAAAGTACAATGAGAAAAGAAATGCAATATCTTCAATATCTTCCTTGCTCTGCAAAGCTTTTGCTTGCCTCCTGTTTCTGTCCTTATCCTGCCCTCACCAAAGTGTCAGGCACTCAGAAACAAGAGCAAAGTTATGCTCAGTACCTCCCTAAGAATGAGATTTATTTTCCCTGTCACCATTCACCCGCTTCTTCTCACCAGAGAGGGGAGATGACCTGTTTCAGCAAGGGATGCCTGCCCTGGGGACAGTCCCAGGGACAGACTGGAAAACTCATTATTTGAATCGACAATACTTATCCCTGCTTTAAATTCATTTGAACTAACCTTGCTCAAGCCACTGGCAATAGAGGAGATGGGTGGAAATATCATTGAAGGAGATATGTGGAATGGAGAAGGAGGGGGTTGCTCATCAGCTTATCATGCACTGGGTCTAGGGAATTGCTTTTGAGGCAATATTTTAATGCAGCATTGGCAACCCGTGCTGGAATATTGCAAATCCATGAGTAGCTCTTCTGAGTGCTTTTCCAATATGTCCATACTATTCCATTTTGTCTCCTCCTACTGTCCAATATTAATCAAATATTGCTTATCTGATGGAATTCCAGCAGCCAAGGTATTGTAGACTTCTTAAAAGCAATTGTCCTTTCAGCTTCCTTGTAGCTGTCAAGTGAGGGGACCAGCCCAGAAAGTGCACATCCATTCTGATGGGAGAAAAAAAAAAATAAATTAACAAATTTGCATCCTTCTCTCCTTAAAAAAAAAAAAAAAAAAAAATTACAGAAAGTTTAAAAATTGCTTTTTAATATAGGCTAACATTCATTCAAACTGGCAGTAGCATCTTGGGTAGGTTTTGGAGAGCAGCCCTCCAGGACCCCTGCCTCTGTTTCTCCTGCCCAGCCCAATGGGCAGAGGTGGCCATGCTGTGTGGCAGGCAGACAGCCAGGGCAATTGGCCTTTCCTTCCTCCTCCCAGCTCTGCTGGCTGTTGGAAAACATGCATCAATTTGTTTTTCTCCCTTCAGGCAGAAAATAAAATTGGCAAAAATCTTCCCAGCAGGAAGCCAGGAAGCCCTGCTTAAATTTTCCCAAGGGGAGGGGGCATCTCAGCAAAGTCAGTATTTTCCTGCAGAAAATTTCAATTTGCGTAAAGACAACATTTTATTAGAACAATTTATTGATAGGAAACATCTAGAAATCCCATTCCAGAGCTTTATTGGCAGAGAAATGAACTCCTGCATTTCACAACCTCTTTTCTCCTTCAGCAAACTGTCAGCTTTTGACCATTCAATTAAAAACACCCCCAGCCCTTCAGTTTGTTGGCCTGTTGCATTTTCTATCTGGGGTGACTTAGCCCAAATCTGAAACAATTGCACACACTCAAAGTCTTTAAAAGTCTCGAAACAACGACACATAGGAAGGGAATAGAATCCTTGGGACACTCTCTAGTTCATTTATCTCATCTGGTAATCTTTTGACAATACCCATAGACAGGAGCTGAGTGGAAAGCAACAGCTCTATGGCTCAGTTTCTCAAATTCCTACTGATACTGAAATTAAAGCCATGAAATCCCTTCTCCCAGTGGTGTTGTGAGAATAAATTCTTCAGTGGCACTAAAAGGGCCCTCAGATATTAATGCTGAGTGCTTGCAAGAGGACACAGAAAGATAGATGGTGTTTGTCCTCAGCCCCCAGAAACCATTCAGTTCCATTGCTCTGCAAACCTCGCTGATACACCAGCTCTGCTCCTCAGAGCTGTGTGCACCCATTTGTCCTCTCTGCATGCACATTCAGTGGGGTTGAAATGCTCACATTTAAGGAAAGAGTCAAAGAGATGTTTTGGGGAAAATCTACCAGAAAGTGAGGGCACAACACAAACTTGTTCAGCTGCTTTACCCCAGCATCTCCACTCCAGAGAGTCATGGACTCCTGTGAAGAGGTGCAGGTGGAGAGTGCATGGTGCCTGCCTTGGGCTGAGATTGGGATGCACAGGAAATTTCTGACTAGCTTTTATGCAGAGACGTGGGGGGGAAAAAATTGCATTTATCTATTAAAGGATGTTAATTTGCTCAGAGTAATTTTCCATAGATTTTATTGATTGATTTCAGGCTTTGAGGGTTTAACTGCCATGTCAGGTTGCCCACTTTAATTTAGCATGTGGATGACTTATAACAACAAGCTGGTTTTATCACTTGAAACCCTTCCTAATTAATGATAGACAAAAGAGGGACAGAGAAAACACTCTGGGTGAACATATTCCTTGCCCTTCTCTTTCATCCTGGAAAAGCTCCTAAAACTTGTGAGCTTGAGTAAATTATTTGGAAAACTGTTACACAGGCACAGCAGCAGCAGCAACAACAACCATGCAAAGCTAATATATCTCACAGAACTGGAATTATTGCAACAAGGATTATTCCAGGTTTAGAACAAGAAGGATAAATATCACTATGAAAGGTCTTCATCAGTGTCTTCAGCCTCATCATTTCCTGTGGCTGTGATTCAGTTATTAAAGTGTACACATGCTAGGGAAGAAGTCAAATTGCTACAGAATGAAAAAAAGGAGGGATTAAACCTGGCTGGGATCAAACAGGGATACAACTGTTCTGCCACTGGCTTAGCTCACAGCGCTGGGCAATGCATTGGACACCTCCCTGTTTCATTTGTCCATCTGTAAACTGTTAAAACAATTCTCACCCCAGCATCCAGGAGAAATCAATCATCAGGACTGAGCTGAACCAAATAGCTGTTAAGTTCTTGGATGGAAGACATAATAGGAACACAAATATTTTCACTTGAAGTGTTATACTGCCCTCAGTTAGGCTCTGCTGGTGGTGACGTTGTGCTGAGCACATTCTCCTTGCTTTCAGGACAGGCTGTGATTTCAAGCTCTTTTCAGAAGATTGTACAGCAACATTTGTTTTATCCTGAGCCCCCTGTGAGGCTGCACACAGTAACTGGCATTGCAAAACCCCAAAGTTTTAATTCAGAGAGAGCTCTGAGCACTCTGTGAGCAGAGATCCAACACCTGTAGGAACCTCTCACCTTAGAGAGATCCTTGCATGAACTGCCCTTGTCCTGCCCCTTATTGCAGACATCAGCTCTACTGCCAATCCCAAACACTTCCCACCCTCTAAAGCAGTCAGGACAATGCTTCACTGTGAACTTTGAGGCTTTGGAAAGAGGAATAGGCTGACATTGCCCCGTGCTTGACCTCTGGTTTTGGTCACTCTTTGGACCTACCCCTGAAACCACTTGGACCTGGGTTTTCCTTTGGTTTTCTGAGTGACAGAAGCAGCTCTTGTGCAATCCCATCAATCCAGCAGCTGGGGCTTTGATAAAGATCCTGAAGTAGTGCAAAGAGCAAGTTCATTCTAAAAATGGGCAACACCACCAAGCTCACTAGAAAACAAATAAAAATCACTAAATTCATTCAATATGGAGACAGACATGGAACAGAGCCTGTCCAAAGCACCTCTTGGGGGTACATTTCTTCAGCAAGTCCACTTCATCCTTCCGGAGACTGCCCAAAGAGCCATGGTGTGGCAGCCAGCAGGGACTGCAAAGCAGAATTTTTTCCACAGATAAAAAGATTTCTGAAATTCTATGAATGTTCTTTCCTTTTTTTTCTTTTGTTTTGTTACAAGCTTCCACACTATACTGAAATATTCCAGAGTTTATTTTCAATAAATAATACAGAGAAAATAGTTTAGATGCAGCTAGAATCTGAGCTGATAGCTACAGTACTGATAGCCCTGCCTGACTTTCCACCAGTTCTGTCAAAGATCTAGAGGATAAAAAGAGAGGGAAACGAAAATCCTGCCATAAGTTACCCCACTGCCCCTTCTTCTCCTGGCTCCCAGTGAAATGTATTCCCAGATATCAAACTGAAATACCTGCCTGTAGTAATGGGTGTTTTCCTTTCCTGTGCACCTTCAACTGCACAATTTCATTATTCCAACTTGTGATCTTTGTGTGGCCCAGCCACAAAGCACAGACACAGGGTACCTGATGCTGTCCAGGGTCTGACCAGGCATTTTTGTTCGGAGATTTCCTTCCAAACCCTCAGGTCTGGCCATTTTTCAGCAGTGACCTTTGCACAGAGAAGTGACAGCTTGTCATTTATCCCTGAGCTCAGTGCCCTCCCCAGCTCTGCTCGTGCCAAAGTTTCTTGTGGGGCTCCCATTGGTTCTGACGACGCTTCCAATTTAGCAAATGTTTATGTGACTCTTGGTTGGAAAAGGATGGAAAAAGAGTCCTGGCACATCACTCTAAATAGATCTGTGGGTAACACTTTAGCTACACATTGAACTTAGATTTAGTAGCATCGTTATTGCATGTAATGTTTATTTTATTAGGTTTATTTTATTAGTGTGCCCACAGCAGAATGTAAGCCTTGTCTTTGTCAACTCTAAAGGCACCCCACAAGAGGCTCTGAGTAGAAAAATCTGGTGCAGTTCATTTTTTCCTTTGGAAAAGCCAAGCAGATGCTGATGAGTGGATAGTCACAATAAGTGTATGTTTTGAATGCACTATTAAGCTCTGAAACTCAGCTGAGTTAACTTGGTGGGAAGTTGGGTTTAATTTGATCCTGTCTCTGAGTGTTCATAAAATGATGCAATTCAGTTTCAACCAGATGAGTGGTATCATCAAAATACATTATTTAAATCCCACCCCCTCAACCATGTGGCCAAATTGGAAGAAGTGTCACTTAAGTATCTCCTTCCAGGCCAGGAAAAGATCAGTCACACTTTAAATTAAGTGTCTCAAGTAAGGATTTAATTTAGACTTAATAAGACAGCGATTGTACATTAAATACCATTGGGTTATTAAAACCATATTCATTGAGGTTTTACAGCTATGTCAGGACAATATGCCATAAATGGAAAAACTGGTAACAAGACACAGTTATTGATTCTGACAACATGTGCTAGATAGGATGCATTCATATGTTCAATAAAAATAAGATAAACAAGCATTTTTTTCAGAGTCTGCATGGATGCCCTCACCAAAATGTCAGGAACTCAGAAACAAGAGCAAAGTTATCCTCAGTGCCTCGCTAAGAATGAGATTTATTTTCCTTATTGCTAGGGAAACTGAGGCATGGAGAGGCAACACAGGCATTTTCTTAGGGTTTGCAAAGCTTTTGGGAAGGCAGAGTTTTTTGAACTCCCCTTACATTCCTGCTGTGCTTTTACCACAGGACAAACCTGGTAGAGCCCAGAGTGGGTTTGAACAAGGAGAATCCAAAGAAGAGATCCAATGTAGCCAAGGACACCAGTGTCCCCAGATGTCACAGAGGACAGGGCTGGCAGGGCAGTCCTTTAATGTGAGGTCTGGGCAGACCCAGAGCACCTTTTTGCTTGGGATGGGTAAAGCTCAGGAGATCCTGGATGCTTTAGAGTTTGTGAGCAGGGAAGTGGCAACACCTCTGCAAATCCCAGGAATGATTTTTTATTTGCATATAATCATTTACACACAAATATGCATATCTGTGAGTGTGCATATCTAATACATATATGTATATAAGAGGACTTTAAGGAGAAACTTTCCCACCAAAGGAAATCTTGCAAAAGAGAATGTTTATACAAAAAAAAAATTTCCTTTGCTAACAAGTTTCTGTATTCCCCTTACTGTTATTAGAGACATTTGTGCTTAAATCAGAAGTCCCAGCCCTGCCTCTCCTTCCATCTTAGCCTACACAGATTG